AGCTACCCTGGTTCAAGTGAATCTATGCAATCTGATAGAACAGCTACCCTGGTTCAAGTGAATCTATGCAATCTGATAGGACAGCTATCTTGGTTCAAGGGAATATATGCAATCTGATAGGACAGCTACCCTGGTTCAGGTGAATCTATGCAATCTCATAGGACAGCTGCCCTGGTTCAAGTGAATCTATGCAATCTGATAGGACAGCTACCCTGGTTCAAGTGAATCTATGCAATCTGATAGGACATCTGCCCTGGTTCAAGTGAATCTATACAATCTGATAGGACAGCTGCCCTGGTTCAAGTGAATCTATGCAATCTGATAGGACAGCTACCCTGGTTCAAGTGAATCTATGCAATCTGATAGGACAGCTACCCTGGTTCAAGTGAATCTATGCAATCTGATAGGACAGCTGCCCTGGTTCAAGTGAATCTATGCAATCTGATAGGACAGCTACCCTGGTTCAAGTGAATCTATGCAATCTGATAGGACAGCTATCCTGGTTCAGGTGAATCTATACAATCTGATAGGACAGCTACCCTGGTACAAGTGAATCTATGCAATCTGATAGGACAGCTACCCTGGTTCAAGTGAATCTATACAATGTGATAGGACAGCTGCCCTGGTTCAAGTGAATCTATGCAATCTGATAGGACAGCTACCCTGGTTCAAGTGAATCTATGCAATCTGATAGGACAGCTGCCCTGGTTCAAGTGAATCTATGCAATCTGATTGGACAGCTACCCTGGTTCAAGTGAATCTATGCAATCTGATAGGACAGCTACCCTGGTTCAAGTGAATCTATGCAATCTAATAGGACAGCTGCCCTGGTTCAAGTGAATCTATGCAATCTGATTGGACAGCTGCCCTGGTTCAAGTGAATCTATGCAATCTGATAGGACAGCTATCCTGGTTCAGGTGAATCTATACAATCTGATAGGACAGCTACCCTGGTTCAAGTGAATCTATGCAATCTGATAGGACAGCTACCCTGGTTCAAGTGAATCTATGCAATCTGATAGGACAGCTACCCTGGTTCAAGTGAATCTATGCAAATCTGATAGGACAGCTGCCCTGGTTCAAGTGAATCTATACAATGTAATAGGACAGCTGCCCTGGTTCAAGTGAATCTATGCAATCTGATAGGACAGCTACCCTGGTTCAAGTGAATCTATGCAATCTGATAGGACAGCTGCCCTGGTTCAAGTGAATCTATGCAATCTGATTGGACAGCTACCCTGGTTCAAGTGAATCTATGCAATCTGATAGGACAGCTACCCTGGTTCAAGTGAATCTATGCAATCTAATAGGACAGCTGCCCTGGTTCAAGTGAATCTATGCAATCTGATTGGACAGCTGCCCTGGTTCAAGTGAATCTATGCAATCTGATAGGACAGCTACCCCTGTTCAAGTGAATCTATGCAATCTCATAGGACAGCTGCCATAGTTTAAATTATGTGGGGTAGCTGTTATCATAACATATGTAAAACTGCTTTAAATTCATGGGAGATATAATTTTGTGAATTTCCTAAATTAGGGAGAACTTTTAAATTTTGTTGAACTTTTCATTTTTTATTTATAAGACAGTGTGCAGTGAAAAAATTGTTCTCATAAATTAGTTGTGAAAATTAATTATAGCAAATAAAAAAGGTTTACAGTAACATATCTTGTGTATTTCAGAAATGTTGGCTCGAATGGAAATAGATGAATGCAGATTCGGTAAGTCAGCATGGGAGTACAAAGCCGAAGGTAGAATGATGAAAATCCGTGACAATTTACTACATGAACAAATTCAGTTATTATCAATAAAGAAACAGAGATTAGAACATGAACAAGACAAAATAAAGCAAGAGGTAAGAACTCAATCTTTTCAATTTTTTTATATTTTGAATTATAATTCTGCTGGTCTATCTCAGCCTATACCAACATAATTTAGTATCTGCAAGAATATTAGGAAAGGAAGTTACTTATTATATATGTTATTACATACACTGGAATAGCCATGTTCATGGGTAACCCAGTCAGTCAGTCAGTCAGTCAGTGTCTTTAGACAATGTAAACTTCTTTGCATTTCAGTGTAACACAAATGCCTTAGGAAATTTTTAGTGTAAAAAAACTGCACATTCTTGTTTGACTGATACTTTAAGATTGCAATCTAAATTGTAGGTAGACAAAACATGGCTTAATGATTAGCAAGTCCGCCCAACATTAGCAACATTTGGCTTCAACTTTCATGGTGAGCTGCCTATTGTCTACCATCCTAGTTGACAGAACATGGTTTTCAGTCAGTAAATTAGTATCGAAATAACCACTGAATAGTTGGCACATCTCTCCAACAGAAACCTGATTAGTATGTGTCAGTCACCAGTTTGCATTTATTGAGTTAATAATGCATTCCTGAAACTAAACTAAACTAAATAAATAATAACATGCTTATCAGCAACTTCCATATTAGAGTCTGCGAATACTCCACATGACAAAACAATTACAATTTATTCCGGTAATATAAAAAAATATAATAAAATTAATCATAAATGCACCATTTATTTTATCTTTCACAGTTAGCTTTGTTGGAAGAAGGTAGAGAACTAAAACAAGATGTACAAAAACTGGAAAAGTGTTTTTACAACACTCAGATGGACATGTATGACATCACTCTATCAATACTTGACAAACAGGAGCAAAGATGTAAAAATAAACTGAAAAAAATCCAAAAAGAACTTCAAAGTAAGTTTTATTCTTGTGTCATTAATATAGTTATTACAATTTCAATGTCAATGTCAAGTATGGTGAAAATAGAAATGTCTCATCCAATGAGTCAATGTCTAGTATGGTGAAAATAGAAATGTCTTATTCAATGAGTCAATGTCCAGTATAGTGAAAATAGAAATGTCTTATCCAATGAGTCAATGTCTTGTATTGTGAAAATAGAAATGTCTTATCCAATGAGTCAATGTCTAGTATAGTGAAAATAGAAATGTCTTATCCAATGAGTCAATGTCTAGTATGGTGAAAATAGAAATGTCTCATCCAATGAGTCAATGTCTAGTATGGTGAAAATAGAAATGTCTTATCCAATGAGTCAATGTCTAGTATAGTGAAAATAGAAATGTCTTAGCCAATGAGTCAATGTCTAGTATAGTGAAAATAGAAATGTCTTATCCAATGAGTCAATGTCTAGTATAGTGAAAATAGAAATGTCTTATCCAATGAGTCAATGTCTAGTATAGTGAAAATAGAAATGTATTATCCAATGAATTAATGTCTAGTATAGTGAAAATAGAAATGTCTTATCCAATGAGTCAATGTCTAGTATAGTGAAAATAGAAATGTATTATCCAATGAATTAATGTCT